TTTTTCATATATTTATATATATTACATACCTATATGTATATATGAAAAATATATAAAAATGCATGTGGGTACTCAATTGAAAGCTCTTGATGAGTGTAACATCAGGATGAGCTTATATCTTTAAAAATGTCAATAGTTAAAAAAGTACAGTGCAATTTAACAAAAGTCATTATTTAATAAAGCAAAATTTTATTTATTTATGTTTCAAAAGTCACGGCAGTCACATAATGACTGCAAGGTTGGTTGCTAGTATTTATGAATTTATTTTTTTTTAATTAAAATAAAATTTCAAGTGTCAATAACTGGATCTTTTATCTTATCTAATATGAGATCTAAAAAAAAAATTTTTTGTTTATAATTTTAGAACGACAAGTTGCGTATTTAAAGGACCACTATCATATCTACATGCTTAGAAGTGGACGTATTAACATTTGCGCGCTAACAGACAAAAATATTGATTACGTGGCTAATGCTATTCATGATGCTGTTACATTATTTGCGGACCCAAATAAAAATTCCGTTTAAACAGAGTTACCTTGCAATAAATATCTGAAGAGAAAAAAAAAGTATGAATATTCTTTATCGACCATTTACTATGAATTTAGGAACAAAGAGAACAATAATTGTTAGAAAACTCTATACACCTATACATGTTGATTATATAACCAAAATATTTAAGAGTTATCCTTATACTTGTTGATAGATGAAAAGATACTTGAGGCTTTATTCGTGAAATTTGTTGCATAGAAAATAGATAGGCCGGTATGGTAAAAGATAAAGTACAAAACAATTTAATTGACAATGCATTATTAATTATATACACTTGTTATAATGTTCATTCCGTATTGCATTATTTTAATTTTTTTTTTATCAGGTGCCAAATATATTATTTAGTCACTTAACAGATATAAATATTTATTAATTGATAATTATTTTAATTTTTAATATTATCAGCAATTAATTTCATTGAATTTTGCCAAATTTAAAGTTAAAAAAACTGCGAAAATTTTTTTTTTCAGTTTAATTATTTAAATAACTAAAATAAACACAGTAAATAATAATTATAGATCATGTTAAAATAAATATCAGGGTTAAATTGAACGAGCTTTTTAGAAGTTGATAAAATTTTACAAGAATTTCAGTAGAATCGATGTTAGCAAAAATACGTAATAGCAAAATTAAATTTTAAATATTCTAATCAAATTAACAAGTAATTATTTTAAATTAATTAATTTGTTTGTTTATTTTATCAAATTAACTTATTGGTAATTCAAAATTATTTTTTGATCAACATTTTGGTCACTCTAAAAAACAAAAAAAAATATTTTTTACATTTCTACACTATCACTATATCTACACTTGCTATTAAAAAAAAAAAAATATACAAATTCTAATTGATAATCATGACATTGAGAGAAATTAATGACTAAAATTTTATTTTTCAACTTAATAAAAATTTAGAAAAATTCAGTAGTGAATTTAATTGTATGTATTCACAGTGTAATATGTGTGTAATTAATGAAATAGACAATAATGTGAAAAATCAACTGTATAATGAAAAAAAAAAAAAAAAAAAATTAATTAACTTCAAGAGTTCACAACGAGAATTATGTCACAATATTTGTTTAAATAAATTAACAAATATATTACAGAATAAACTATGTCTATTATTTTTGTATAATTACAGTAGTATATTTACATATTTTCACAAATTTAATTTATATAAATAATAAGCATGACAACGTGACAGTTCATGAATTGATGGAAGCTTTGATAAAATTAAAAAAATTTTTAATGAACTAAATTTTTTATGAACTCCATTTTGATTCTTTTTTTTTAAATGTTTCCTTGCCATCAGATTCAACTGCTGTGTAATAACCCATGTCTTCATATTGTGACCGCATGTACCAAATATATCCAGAACATCCGATCATTGCTGTCAAACCTAATCCCATTATCACCATATTCTATAATAATAATAATAATAAATAAATGATAAAAAGTTATTATCTTAAAAACAAAAAATCTTTAAGCTTAAATAATAATTATGATACTTAAATCAGCTGACGATTTAATTTTTTAAATTTTCATAAAAAAAAACAATAAGAATAAATGAAAACTAAGTTAGTTGACATTTAAATAAAAATTTTTAGAATTTTTTTTATTACAAAAAACTAAGAAAAAAAAATTTTCACTTGTAAAAAACTTGAAAAACTTCAAGTGCAATAAATGAAAAAAAATAAAAAAATTAGAAACGTCAGCTAACTTTAATATTATTAAGAATAAATTAATTTTAAAGTAATAAAAAAAATATTTTTACCGGTCGTGCATAAAGTTCAAAATTCACTGCTCTAAATAGCATTGTAGTCCTCACAGAACGTAAACCATCTCCTGGAGCTGCGGCTACTTTTTGTGTATCCTTGTCTTTTTTATAAAACATTTTTTTTTCTTAAAATAATAACAGAAAAAAAATTTCTTTTGTAAAAACAATTATTTATTATTATTTCACATGTATTGCATAAACTAGAAAAAAGAGAGAGGTTATGTGTACTTACTTGATACTTTTTTTTTTTTTTTATTTATTTATTTAGCGTCGCTCAAACCGAAAGGTCCTTGGCGACGTACTTGATACTTGTCATTTACAATAATGTAATTTAAAATATATTTTTCTATAATAGTACACTTTTTTTTTTATTTTTTAAATCATGAGTGTGAATCTGGCAGACATCCGACAATTGAAAACTTCAACTATCGATATCTTCATGAATATATCGATTGGTACGATTTTGACGACGGGCTCTGACGCGTATTTGAATTGTCTACAAAAGCATTTTTTTTTTTTTTTTTTTAAATTCATTATTTGAGCTGTAATTGTAAAAATAAATTTTTGTTTGCAAATATTAGAAATATATATTATTAAAAATAAATGAAAGTCAGATATTTTAACAACTTATTACTTAAGTTTCACAAGCATTTTTTTTATATTACTCCGACGATCACTAAAATCAATTTTGAAATTTTAATAATAAAAAAACAACTAAAAAAATGACTCAAATAAAAAACAAAAAAAATGCTCTTATAGAGTTTATAAAAATCTACAAGAGCTTTTTTTTTGTTTTTAAGTTTTCATAAGTTTATCATATACAAAATAATTTTTTTATCAGCCGACAAATTTAATTTTCCATATTTAGGCCTGGAAACACTCTATAAAAATATAAAAAAATATGAATTTTGTTTATATTCTGAAAAATTAAACGAGCATTTTAATAAAAATATTTTTTTTTTATTTTAACCACGAAAAAATTAAAAAATTACATTTTTTTGGTTAAATATTTGTTTTATAA